TGGCCTGTATATTGACCAGAGGCTGAACTCTTTGTCTCAGTCTAGGGTATGTGGATGAAACATCAAACAGGTAGATACCTCCTCTAAAGAAAATCCTGAAGGTCAACTAGCAGTAGAAACCACTTGGGGCTGAGTACCTTATCCATGTCCCTGTTAACTATATACTTGGTTATTCAAATGTTCACGTGCTGTCATCCCAGCTTTACCCTACAGAGCCCTGAGTTTGACCAAAATATTGTATCCTAACTCAGTGCTGTTCACCCTTCACTCCCGCACTTTTTGACCTCCATTACACTTTGGTCCAGCAATGTCTCCATTTCATTAGTCACATCCTTATTTTAAAATTTATACATGGCCTTGCTTCTGTTATCTCTTCCATCCCTATGACTCTCCAAGGTATTGCACTCCTCCAAATTTGACTTCTTATGCATCCCCAATTTTCACTGTGCCACCATTAACGTGCATGACTTCAGATGTCTGGACCCTAAGCACTCTCCACCTCTCTCTCATCCTTTAAGACACACTGGAAAACCCTGAATCCTGCCAAGCCTTTGGTTACCTGTCTTTTTCTGTGGCTTGATATCACGTTTAATTCATTAACAATCCTGTGAAAACCTTTGGGACATTTTACTGCATTCGAGGTGCTATGTAAAGGGAAGGTTTTGTTGCTATTGATTCAAGAGTGGATCTAGCAGGATATGATTTGATAGAAGATTTCATAGAATCCCTACAGTGTGGAAACAGGCCCTTCGGCCCAACAAGTCCACACTGACCCTCAGAGCACCCACCCAAACCCACCTAATCTACACATCCCTGAACACTACGGGCAATTTAGCATGGCCAATCCACCTAGCCTGCACATCTTTGGACTATGGGAGGAAACCGGAGCACCCGGAGGAAACCCCCACGCAGACACGGGGAGAATGTGCAAACTCCCATATGTGCCCAGTCTCCAGGCTGTAGTAGAATATAGCTCAGAAAGGCCAGAAGAAAAGGGGAACAAGAAAAATGATTTACAGCTCTCCAAAAAATTCATAAAAGCTCAGCAAAGCCAAACCTTATGACAAGTAGAAGCCAACAGCAGTAAGAACTTGGCTCTCAGTCAGAGGAAATGTGTATTGTATTTGGTTCAAGCTTTCACTGTGCTCCCAGCTCCCTGTACTTCCTTCATATATCTTCCTTGAACATTTTGGCCATTTCAAAAATGTTTTTATTCATAATTTTTCCTTTAGTCTTAAGTCCTTGATATCTTGCTACACAATAGGGTTAGTTTTTACTTTGTGGTAGTTTATTTTTTGGAAGATTAAAATTGCCCATGAGTGTAAAACAATCAGCAATTTTCCCCTGTTTGTTTACGCCTCATCGTAAATATTGGCATATAATCAGCCTCCTGTTTGCTCGACAGACCTCCTATTACACTTCACCATAAATTTTACAGCTGGGTCATCACCCTCATGGAGAAAAATATACTTCAGCCAAAGTATATCAGTGTTGCATAACACAGTCCTCAGGTGATGATGTTAGTTCAAACTGTTCCCACCAGTGACAATCCACCGCAGATCAGCCTCAGAGATAGACAGCTCTCCTGACACAAGCCCAGGTTTGCGTGACACACCCTTTAATGGGACTGCTGAGCATTTTCATAGTACGAGTGGGCACAGTTCAACTATTTCTCACACCTACTGTTCCCTCTGCTGAAACCCATGTGACAAGTCTGCTAACACGCAGGTTTAAGTCTTAAACAAACTACTTCAAGTTGACAACAGTTTGGGATTAAAAAGTGGCAATTGAACATTGTTGACACACAAATGTACATAGTCATAGTGATACAGCAGGGAAACAGACCCTTCACTCCAACTTGTCCATGTCGACCAGGTTTCCCAAAGTAAACTAGTCCCATTTGCGTGCATTTGGTCCATATCCCTCTAAACCTTTCCTATGCGTTTACCCAACCAGATGCCTTTTAAATGTTGTAATTGTACCAGCCTCCACCATGTTCATTCCATACAGGCACCGCCCTCTGTGTGAAAAAGTTGCCCCCAGATCCCTTTTAAATCTTACCTTCCTCACCTTAAACCCACAGCATCTAGTTTTGAACTCCCCTACCCTGAGGAAAAGACCTTTGCTGCTCATCTTATCTATGTTCCTCATGATTTTATAAACCTCTATATGGTGATCCCTCAACCTCATATGCTCCAAGGGAAAAAAATGTCTCAGCCTATCCAGCCTCTCCTTATAATTCAGACCCTCCAGTCGAGGTAACATCTTAGTAAATCTTTTCAGAACTCTTTCCAATTTGTTAATATCCTTTTTATAGCAGGGTGACCAGAATTGTACGCAGTACTCCAAAAGTGGCTTCACCGATGTTCTGTACAGCTGCAACATAACATCCCATTACATTCTGAGGAAGGGTCACCCGACCTGAAAAGTTAACTCTTTTTCCTTCACAGATGCTACCAGACCTGCTGAGCTTTTCCAGCAATTTCTGTTTTTGTTGCTGATTTACAGCATCCGCAGTTCTTTCGATTTTTATAACGTCCCAACTCCTACACTCAATGCTCTGACCAATGAAGGTAAGCGAGCCACATACCTTCTTCACCACTCTGTCTACCACTTTCAAGGAGCTATGTACCTGAACCCCTCTGTCTCTGTTCGACAACTCCCCAGGGCTCTACCATTAACTGTGTAAGTCCTGCCTGGTTTGTCTTACCAAAATGCAAAACCTTGCTTTTATCTAAATTAAACTCCATTTGCCGCTTCTCAGCCCATTGGCCCAGCTGATCAAGATCCTGTTGTACTGTTAGATAACCTTCTTCACAGTCCACTATACCATCAATTTTGGTGTCATACACAAACTTACTAACCAAACTTCCTATATTCTCATCCAAATCATTTCTATAAATGACAAACAACTGTGGACCCAGCACCAATCCCTGCGGAACACTGGTAGTCAATTCTAAAAAAAAATCCCTCTACCATCACCCTCTTTCTCCTGCCATCAAACCACGTTTGTAGCTAATAGGCCATCTCTCCCTTGATCCCATGTGATCTAATGCTACTAACCAGTTTATCATGCAAAACCTATTTGAAGGCCTTGCTAAAGTCAACATATATTGCTCTGCAATCATCTATCCTTTTGGTTATATCCTCATAAAACACAATCAAGTTTGTGAGACATGATTTCCCACACACATAGCCATTCTAACTATCCCTAATCAGTCCTTGCTTCTCCAATGCATGTAAGTCCTGTCACTTTGAATCCCTTCCAACAGCTTACCCGCCACTGATCTCAGACTCACTGGTTTATAGTTCCCTGGCTTTTCCTTACAGCCTTTCTTAAATAAAGGCACAATATTAGCCACCCTCATGTGTATTTATGTGTATGTAAGTGTTTGTGTATGTGCATTTTAGTGTATAGTGAGTGTGAGTATATACAGTGTAATTTGTGAGAGTGAGGGTGTGTGATACCTTGTCAAACATTCATAGAGGGTAATGTTTGATCCTGTACAGTGGTGTAAAGCAGGCAATAATGAATTTCCTGAACCTGAAGACCCGTACACCTTGAAGTCATCTTAATAAATATCATCATACATGTAAAACAAGCTGCTGACTCACTGTGTCACCTGCTCCATGCCATCGCACAGTCTAAATTACCCTCATTCTGTCTGCTGAACCAGGCAGGATGTGTGCACAGAGGCTGTTAAATATTCAACAGAAAATTGTTATTCATTTTTTCACTGATGTACTTATTGTGCTGTTTGTGCCTGGTGTCTTCATTGTAACCATTTCCAGCCTGGGCTTTGGTTCAAAAAGTCACCATCATCATTTGTGTGTGATAAATATAAAGACCTTGGCTGAGTTTAATTAATACAGTCATTGCATTAAGCAGCATGGGACTGAGCCTCAGTTAGCCTCCCTCAGCTGAATTAGTTTGGGAGCTGGTAAAATCAGCCAGAATTCTTTTACGCAGTGACAGTGAAAACATTTGGACATCAAGGGAGCACAGGTTTGGGTTCATCTGTCAATGCTCTGCCACCTGTTTCAGCTTGCACGAAACAAACAGCCAGTTGACTAAGATTGTTAGCACATGTGAAACTGCATTCCAGTCCTTTCATAACCATGATGGCCCAAATGGCCTTCTTCTGTAAAGGACAGAAAGACAGAAACCTGGGGCTGGGGGTGAGAAAGCAGCATTTGGTCATCCCGTGTCTTTAACTAGTTAGAGGCCCCACAGATTAATATATTTACTGAACAACAGACAGGAGGTAGAGTAGTTCCTTTTCTATAACACCAATGCATTGAGTGAATTACATTAACATTGATGCTACATTAGTCACAGGGATGATACAGAAATAATTCCCAAGAGGTGCCCCACTGACACTGGATTAGTGATAGTGCGAATAAGTGAAAGTAACTCATTACCATGTACTGAGACACATTGACACCTGACGATTGGTATTTTTTGCAATGTTCTCCTGAGAGTGCAATTCAGTGGAACTATTGTACTGAGCCCAATGTGAATTATTGAAAGAATATTCGAAGCAATCTGCACCAAGGAAGATCAGGGAAGGTTTAATAGTCGTATTCAAAATAATACAGGGTATTGATAGAGTAGAGAAAGAGAAACTTTAGGGCACAGATTTAGGGAACATGCAAGCAGCTAGAGGTGTCGTGATGATAAATTGTTATTTGCAGTGAGTTATGATCTAGAATGCAAGGCCAGGGGAAACAGATTGGAGAATTGTTTTTGAAGAGGAATGGAATAAATATCTAAAGGGGGAATATACTTGCAGCACGGTGGGGAAAAAGTCGGGGAAATGGGACACCTTTGATAATTCTTTCCAAAAACAGGCATAATGGATCAAATGAGCTCTTCCAGAGCCATATGATTCATTAGTCCTAAATTTAAAATGGTCTGATATTATATCTGGAGTCAGGCTGAAATTAAGATTGATTCTGAAAATGGTTCTTTTGTTTGTTTGTATTTATCTTTTCCACAGATCAAGCAAGTCATGGGATTAAAGGGCCTTTTCCACAGAAATCCAAAGCAGGCTTCACTCGACAGTCATGTTGCTGTACTGCTCACTCACAAACCCTCTTTTAGCAGCCAGATCCTCCGCAGAACTGCCAGTGCCCCAACCAAAGGGCAACCGAAGAGCAAAAAGGGCTTTCCTCAAATCGTTCTAGATACCAAAGACTACAGTTCAGAGGGAGCAAGTGAGTCTGATGATACATCCCAGCCTCGGTTTGAGCAGGATGCTGGATGTGCTGAGACTGCTCTGGAAGGTGCTGACAAGGCTGGCACCGATGGGGAAGTGCAGACAGAGGCCTTTAAAGGTAAGGGGATGAGCCAGGGGTCGGGGGAAGGTCAGAAGCCACGTGCGACTACGGGTGTGGTATTTAGTGAGCCTTTAAGGCGGGCGCATCGAGTGCGCATACTGGACCCTGAGGAGCAAAGGCAAGGCGTATTTACCAGGTGTGCCATAAATGGCTGCGGTAGGATTGGCATGGCCACCAATTGCATGAAATGCGTCATTGGTTCTAGAGAGAGCCCAGATCTAGAACGCAAGTGGAAGGAGCGTGTCCACCAGCCAGATAGCCTGGCAGCGGCCAAGCAGGCACGTCAGCACGGTTCCTCCGAGCACGAGCGGTTGATTCCCGCTGTCCAATGCCAACCCAAGCAGAGGTGGCGATGCCAGGGTGTCCACGGTGTCGGCTGCAGCAGAGGAGAGGTCAACCAATTGGAGGTCACTGGCAAGGGCTGCGACTCACCTGAGTCTCAAAGCCTCGAGGGTCTGGGCGGTCTGGAGCACTCGTACCACTTGGCACAGAACCCTCAGAAGTGTCCGGGCACTCTTCAACGTGAAATGAACTCATTGTTTGTACAAAAGATGGAGGAAATCCGAAGCAAGTCTCCAATCTTTTCCACTGGTAAGACCTGAACGGACCATTTTGTTGACCCATCTTTTGCTTTGTAGATGAACCAGTTCCTCTCGCCAGTGTCACCCACATCCAGCCAAACCCTGAATCCACTCACCCAGCTAGAATGCTACACCAACTTTAAATTTTGTATTCAGTTACCTCTTGAGAAAGCTTACACAATGTGGAAGTGAAACGTTAAGTTAGGTTGTTGTAGTTTCTCATGTACTGCCTGCCTGCCCAGAATTATCTTTCTTTTCCCTTAAAGGATGATTTCAAAGATACAAACCAGCTAAATAATGAAGCTTCTTGATGGGTGTATGGATTTAGATGGCATGAGGTTTTGGTGGCTGGAGATCTAAATGGTCTCCTTCCAATCAGGTGGTCACATCCCCAGTTTACATCCCATCCGAATTTCTCTAAGGTGTGTTGATATCCTAGTATTTCCAAAGTGGAAAAGCATTGCAGTTCGTGCTAATTTAACCAAATATAGATGGAGATAAGCAGAGTACTGTACAGACCAGCAAGGTTGGACCTCTGCTGACATAACCAATCTCAGCCAGCACTCAGGACTTATAAATTAGCCTGGGTGAACCTGGTTGAGGGTAATGCAAACATGCTTGTAATGTGATGTGACCCTGGCCTCATAATTCACTAAACCTAACCCAACTTTCATCCCATCAACTACTGTCAAAAGGTGGTGCAGGCCAGGTCTATGTGGATTATTTCCGGTCAAGTGAAAGGGTCCATTGATGTAAGAGGAAAAGTGAGGGATCTAGAACAGAGGGAGAGACAAACAGCGTCACCCAGGTAAAGTTGTGAGGCCATGGAATTCATCTCCAGGATTTGTGGTTGAATCAGAAACATTCAAGATTGGGCTAAAAGAAAAAAGACGTGTAAATGTGATCAGACCATTGATTCAAAATAGAGGGTAAACGGAAGGAAAGCTAAACCAGACCAGGACCAATAGCAATTTCAATAAATGTATGGAAATGGAGTTTAATAAATAAGTTTCTACATTTTTAAAAATTTAGCTTCGTTCTTTCTACATCACTGTCACCACCTTTGGCTGAATTGTGGAAACATATGACTTGGTGATGTGTTGAACCCTAATTTTAACCCGAGGTTGCCGGGAGGCTAAAGTCAGCAGAGATCAAAGGGATTTTGTGGGATTTCATTTCCCAGGCTGTGTTTCATTGTTACCATTTGGATTCCCACCCAGTGGCACCTTGAGCCTGCCCCATCATTCAATTTGCTTGTCGTTGATTATCTGCCTCCAATCCACCTTCCCACCAAATCACTTGATTCCATGAGAGAACAGATATCTCTCTCTCAGTGCTGAACATGCTCAATGACTGGAATATTTGTGAACTTCTGGAGTGGGGCATTCCAAAGATTCACAACTCTTTCTCCTGATCTCAATCTTAAATGGTCTACCCCTTCTCCCGTCTTAGTACCTCACATGTTCTAAACTCCCCAGCCAGGGAAATGATGCCTCAGTGTCCACCCTGTCAAGCCTCTTCATTACCTTTTGTTTCATTAGTTCACCTCTTATTCTTTTCAATCCAAGATCTTATTGGTCCAATTTTCTAAACCTTTCACCACACACAACCCTCTTGTCCTGGCAACTAATTTAGTGAGGCTTTGCAGAACCGCCTCCAAAGAAATATATCCTTCTTTAAATATGGAGATCAAATGCACACAGTTCATTCAGTCATACAGCATGAAAACAGACCCTTCAGTCTAACTTGTCCATGCCAATCATTTTCCAAACTAAACTAGTTCCGTTTGCATGCGTTCGGCTGACATCCGTCTAAACCTTTTCTATTCACGTACCTGTCCAAGTGTCTTTTAAATGTTCTAATTGTACCCGCCACTACCACTTCCTGTGGCAGCTCATTCCATATATGCATCACCCTCTGTGTGAAAAAGTTACCCCTCAGGTCCCTTTTAAATCTTTCCCCTCTCACCTTAAACCTATATCCTCTAGTTTTGAACTCCCCTACCTGGGGAAAAGACCTTTGATAGTCACCCTATCCATGCCCCCAGGCCACCCCTCAACCTCCTACGATTCAGGGAAAAAAGTACAAGCCTATCCTGCCTATCCTTATAACTATAAGCCTCCAGTCCCAGTAATATCCTTGCAAAGTTTTTCTGCACCATTTCCAATTTAATAACATCCCACCTGTTCCCCACAGCCTAACAGGAATGCTTTAAAAGTCAAAAATAAAACTTACCAGAGCCTAAGCCCATGCTCCTGCCTACCATCACATTTCTCTGGTGGGACTGAGATGGTGCAGGCTTTAAACACTTAGGTATCAAACTCCCTCGCTCATTGAGATTATATCAACTGCCCTGACCCCTCCACATTCAGGCTGAGCAGAACATAGAACATAGAACTGTACAGCACAGTACAGGCCCTTTGGCCCACGATGTTGTGCCAAACTTTTACCCTAAACCTAAGGTCTATCTTAGTAGACTAGATTAAAGTCAGGCTTTTCATCTTAAAAGTTTCCTGTAAGGGTAATTCTAACCCAATCCCATCAGTTGACAGGTTGGATTAAAATTGCCCTTACATTCCCGTTTTGCAGTGAAGGAAAAGCTGTGAGAATCTGACCTTTAATTTGGTGCCTCTGTAGATTAGAGTGTGGCTTATCTGAATTCCTTTATGTGCTTCCTTGCTCAAATTTTGCTTGCTGATGAGTTTAACAGTTTGTAATGTTCCACCCTTGCTACCACTTGCAGTGGACAACTGACTTGGAGAGCAACACAAAGGTAAAGATCTGCTCCCCTAAGATTTTTCTTCTTGCTTCATTGAATCTGTTACTGAAATGAATGATAAGTACTTGGCTTCTAACCTGATTTGGACAAAGATGTCCCAATCCTGGACCAGGGTGATGGAGTCGAGGGGGTGCGGGGTTTGGTAGCAGGAGGTAGGAGCTGCCTCTAGCACATTTGTCAATACCATTTGCAGATTTATAAAAGCCCTTTAAAGAGCAAGCCAGTAGGTGAGAGAGACACCTTCTGCACCCAAGGATTAATTAGGATGGCTTCATTTTTGAAGCTTGAGCATTTAATTGTTAAATATACTAGAATTTAAAAATATATACACTATAAGGGAAATGTTAAGGGACCCAGTGGATCTGTATACCTGAATCAGCAGTGAAATCAAATCCCACTCCAAAGACTTGAGCACGTTATCCAGGCTAACACTGTACTGAGGGAGTGCTGCTTTGTCAGAGATGTCATCTTTTGGCTGGATCAAATGAAAGCAAAACATTCCATTAAGCTGAAGATGATCAGGACAGTTCTCCCTCACTTCATAGATGATACATTATCCCTCAATCAGTATCACTAAATCAAATTTTCTGGTCATTATCGCCTCATAGTTTATGGGATCTTGCTGTGTGCAAATTAGCTGCTGGATTTTCTACACTAAAATAGTGACTACACTTCAAAGAAATATTCCATTGGCTGGAAAGCGTTTTGGGATTTCCTGAGGTCATGAGTAGCACAATATAAAAGAATATAAACACAGGAAATAGGAACAGGAGTAGGCCATCTGGCCCTATGAATGTGCACCATCATTCTGTTTGATCGTGACTGATATTTTACATTAACTCCATAGTGCTGTGCAATTCCTTTATTCCCTTAGTGCTTAAAAATCTATCCATCCTAGCTCTGGATATATTCATTCAATAAGCATTAACAGCATTGTAGCTGAATGGTTAAGGCAATGGGTTAGAAATCCATCGGTGTTTCCCCGCGCAAGTTCAAACCATAGAATCGCTACAGTGTGGAAACGGGCCATTCGACCCATCAAGTCCACACTGACCTTCTGAAAGGCACCCCACCCAGTCACGAACACACTCCCCTATAATTTCAATGGCTAATCCATCTAACCTATACATTCCTGGACATTACGGGCAATTTAACATGGCCAATCTATCTAACATGCTCATCCTTTGATTCCACTGTCGGGCAACTGTCTGTGTGGAGTTTGCACATTCTCCCTGTGTCTGCGTGGGTTTCCTCCAGGTGCTCCGGTTTCTCCCACAGTCAAAAACATGGGAAGGCTAGGTGGGTTGGCTATGCTAAACTGTCCATAGTGTCCAGGGATGTTCAGGCTAGGTGGATTAGCCATGGGAAATGCAGGGTTACAGGGATAAAGTGGAATGTGCTTTGATGGGGCAGGGTGAACCCGATGGGCCAAATGGCCTGCTTCCACACTGTAGGGATTCCATGATACGCTTTCTGGGAAAGGCTATTCAATAGAGTCACAACCCTGAGTGAAGAAATTTCTCTTGTCTCAGCTCAGAATGTTCAAAACCCCCATCCTAATTCTATACTCTGAAGCCAAACGAGAAAACATCTCAGCTCTACCCTGCTGAACCCTAAAAGACTTCTGTGTTTCAATG